TCAGCTCGGCGGGGTACTGCCAGGTAAGGGGAGCTCGCACGCTGGACTGCGCGGAGGGGAAAGGCTGCCGGCGGGCAGGGCAGGGCAGGGCAGGGCGTCCCCCCACCGGGACCTTCCCGCAGGCCAGCAGCACGCCAGGGTTTGTGATCCCGGTGCCACGGAGGTGCCTGCACGCTGCAAGAGGCCTGGTCCTGGCTGTCTGGAAGGGGAGCGAGGGGCAGCCCAGCTCCCTGGGCCATTTGCCTCTCGGCCGAGTGGCAGGACTCTGGGAGAGGAGGGCAGGCAGCGCTGCTTCTTTTCAGTCCCCTTCTGCGCTGACGTGAATTTCTTTGAAACAGGCTTTGTTCCTACGGCTCTGTGATGTGACCAAAGAGCCTGGCCTGGGTCGCAAGGCAGTGCTGTCCCGCTGCATCGTGCTGCTGGGTAAGGAGCGGAGGCTGGGCGATGCCCCGCTGTGCCGTGGCAGCTCTGTTCCAGTCCTCAGCAGCTGGAGGCAGCTGCCTGCTAACGCAGAACGTGATTTCTTCTCTGCAGCCCGCACCTACCCGGAGGAGACGATTGCGTTTCTGCGCTGCCAGCTGAGCAGCAGGAGCAATGCCTATCGCGTGGCAGCTCTGGGCCTGCTGAGAGAACTGGCCCGCTCTGATGGTCAGTGCCTGGGACGCGAGGCGGGGGTTGGGGCTGGTGGGCTGAGAGCAGGAAGAGGCTGGAAGTGGTGCACCTGCACCCGAAAGGAGCTGCAAAGAGCAGGTCCCCAGCTGAGCTGATGCTCCAAGCTCAGTGACACAGGCGGGCTGGTGGGCGCAGGAGCTGCTTGTACCCGTGCCATTTCTCTAGTTCTCTGTTACCGTAGCTTTTGATCCCTATAAAATAGCCGTGCCTCTAGAAACGGAGTTGCTCTGGGTACGCTGCTGCCTCCTGTGAAGTCAGACTTGGGCCCCGCTTTTCTGTCCCGCTAACGTATGAAAAGCTCAGAAGCTTCAAGGGGTGCCTTGTGCCGTGGGGGCTCTGCCTCAGTGCACACCTCTCTGTGTCTGTTCCAGACCCTGCAACAAGAGAGCAGCTGCCGCAGCTGGTGGAGGCCGTGCGGTCGGTGTGCAGCAACCCCAGTGCCCAGGTGAGCTGGTTTGGGAAGGGGCTGCCAGGGCGGCAGAGAAAGCCTCTCCCTGGGGGCAGAGCCTGGTGAGGCTGTAGCAGGAGCGGCAGTTTGGGGGCTGACCTGGGCGACCGTTCCGTTTCCCTGCTTCCTCGTGCTCCCCGGAGAGCTGATGGTGAGAGGTGATGCTGCTGCTGGCGTGGGCAGCGTTGGAGTGCCTGGGGAGGTGACAGCACGTTGCCCAGGTGGTGGGTGCTGTCTCCTCCCTGGGGAGAGCTGGCAGCCTGGGGTGGGGAGGTCACAACGGATGGGCAAATGCACATGCAGCCAGGTGCTAAAGTCCGTGACTGAGCTGCGGAGCAAAAGCTGCTGCCATGCCCTCACCATCTCTCTGCAAGCCACTAAGGCGGCTCCCAAGCGAAGGTGTTGACCAGGAGGGTGGTAACCACGGTCTCCCCTGGCAGGTGCAGACAGCAGTTGTGGAGTTCATCAGGGAGCTGCTGAGCTCTGGCTCCCAGAGCTGTCAGGAATGGGATGTGGTGGGGCACATCTTCAACGAGTTCGGCCGGATCTCGGGCAGACTGGTAAGGGCAGAGCGGGACAGCCGGGGCTTTGCCCAGTGCCTGGGCTGTGCTGAGAGCTCCTGCGGGCATCCTTGGCCGTGGAGACCTCCACGCTGCAGGGCCGTCGTCGCCAGCACTGCCATCGGAGCGTGCTCCAAATGGCCGCTCCTCATGGGTGTCTGTGCTGCTGTCGGTGGAGGCGTCGGTGGGTGGTGTGGGTTTGCACCTGGGCGTACCACCCGGGACTGCGTGTGCAGCCCACGGGCTGAGCAAAGCTGCCTTCCGAAGGGAGGGACCTTGTAGGGAGGGGACATCCTCCATCCTTAGATGCTGATGGATGATCAGCAAAACGCAGCCAGTGCAGGGAGGTGGGCCTGGCTGGAGGAGCTTTCTGTGGGGCTCTTGTGCTGGGGCCCTCCAAAGCATGCCCTGCCCGTCTGAGAGCAGTCTTGGGGGCCCGTGTCCCTTCTGGCATGGGGACAGGCCTTTTGGCAGTCCCTTCGGTGAGCGTTTCCAGCTGGGTGCCCAGGAGATGAAGGCTGGGGATGGCCGAGCCTCCCGCTGACTTGCCGAGGATCTTCGACACGCGTGCGTCGCGGTGCTGCAGGGCTTGGGCTGGCTCTGCTTCGGGAGCAGGGTGCAGGAGGGGGCTGCTGGGTTCCACTCCGCATCCGTCGGACCTGCTGCCACCAGGTCTGGCCGTGAGAAGAGCCCCGCTGAAGGGCACGTTCCTCACCTGTGCTGCACTGGCATGACAGCAGCATTTGGGTCCTGAGGGACCGTGCAGACTAGCAGCATCTCTCTGCTCGCAGACTTCCCAGTCCTTGCCAGCATCTGGGAACTGGTCCCTGAGCTAGGTCTGGCTGTCCTTGTCCTCCTTCAGGAGGTCAGTGGTCCTGGGAGGCTGTTGCAGGAGCACTGGGAGGGCCATGTCTGAGCCTTGTCGGTTGGGAGCTGAGTAACGGGGCTTTGGGCAACTGCGTCTTGCAGGTGGCAGAAGGCCATTTGGCCTGGGAAAACCCGGAGGAACAAGCTCTTCAAGCCCTGTGCATGGAAATCGTGGGCTCGCTGGACGTCTCTCTGAGAGGGATGACCAAGGTAAGCCACCCTGTGCCCCGCTGCAGCGGCCACTTCTTCCCTTCAGGGCATTTTTCCCCATGCCCTGAACCTCTCCCCGATGTGCGCTGCAGCGCGCGAGGCTCAGGGAAAAGCAAACCATCCTTTCTGTCTGCGAGCGGAGTGGAAGTGCCGCTGTGGTGAATTGCCTGGTCTTTCTCTGCAGCTCCTGTGGCCGAGGCTTCTGGAGTACGTGGTGCCAGCCCAGTACAGCGGCATGCTGATCCCGCTGTCCCGCTGCCTCCGAGCCCTCGTGGAGAGGCAGGAGAGAGCGGGGCACGAGGAAGAAGAGAAGCCCGATGCCGTGAACTCCCCGGAGCAAGATGGGAGCCCTGGTGAGTGCCGCTGGGTTTGGCTGGGGGCCGGTCCGGTCTGTGTCTCCGTGTTCCTCCGCAGCCCTGAGCAGGAGAGCCAAAGGGCAGAGGCAGGCTCTGCTGCTGGGCATGGGGGGCTCTGCCCTGCATTGCCCCTTGCCCGGCGCAGAGACCTGGCTCTCCTGGGGAGCCGGGGCTTGTTCCCGGCCGTGCCGGAGC